CTTCGTCCCCAAAAATGAACTTGTTACTCAATTCTGTTTATTGCATGCATGTGGTGCATATCAAAATCTAATTAACTAATTATTGCAAATATACAATTTATTACTTATTTCGTATGCAATAAATATAAATAATTGAACTCAATTTGAATTCCTTTGTATTTTATTTATGAAATACTAAGTATGCTATATATTATTTAATAAATATATTATTAAATAATTGTTCTCTTATTTATATCCTTATTTCTAAAGTAGTATGGAGTAATAAATTTTAAATTGACAAATTCTAATATACAATAACAATATAAATTGACGCATATTATACCATATGACCGACATACAATGTGCATGGTATGTCCAATCCAAATACGGCTATGTTTTATAAATTGAAAGAAGGCAGCACAGATTCATAGACATCATCGCAGATCCGAATTGAACTCCGGCGGCCATCATCTGCTCGAATCGCAATCGCCGCCTTCTAGTGGTCTCTCTATCTCCAGGTTGATGTCGTGCGCTGCTCGTCGCTAGCCATGGACAGGCTGCAGCTCATCACCGACGGGGATCTGCTGCCATGTGCTTGTTGCTCGCCACCTCCATCAACAAGCAGAAGAATGTAAGATCTTTCTGGAGGTGGAGATTGTTTTAAGCAGGGAACGAAGCTTTTTGAAGTGATGAGAGAGTATGAGGTGTTTAAGAGAGTTACATCTCTATAAAGGTTTTTTATATTTTAGAATGCTAAAGTTGCATACCCCAAATTACATCTAATTTGTTTCTATGTAACATTTCAATTAAAGCAGTTTACATCTCAACGAGTTACATGCAAATGATTGTAATTTACATTTTGATTAACTTGAAATTACATGTGGATTTGCACGAGTTACATTTCATATAGCCATGGGAGCATGGTGCTCACCATGCCCCGGTTGCACTGTATACGGCTTGGTAATTTGACATGCCCTAACTAGCTTAGCGATAATGAATAAGTGACCAGTCCAACAATATACCATTCTATATATTATGGCATTGCTCTATTAATTTTCAATATTGAATAATGATATTTTAATTTTGAGTTCAGCCCATCTACTCATTATAGGTTTTGAATTGTGTGATTGTGAAGGAAAAATTATATCATGAAAAACATGGTGAGACAATTGTTAAGATTTGTTGGATTGGAATTTGGTACTTCATGTGTTCCAAATTATATTGAATTAGATTTTGCGAATGGTAAGGACAGCTAAAAATAAAGCTAAATCATCCATATGGCTAATTAAATCAGCTTTAATAATTAAAGCTTACATCTCCAGAGTAAGTTACAACAACAAAAACCGGGGCTTTATAAAGTCATATAATTCAATTTATTTTAAAAGTGGCTGACACATTCAATTCTACGGTGTATTTATTTATTTATTTATTTTTAAATAGTACTAAATGAAACTTATTCACAAAAATGTGACTAATAGTTACTGCGGTATAATCTTAGTCACTTAATTGCAAAACTTGAACATAAGTTACTATGGCTAAATTACAACTTCAGTCATCAAACACAATTTTATAAACTACATTTATTTTAATCACATATATGTAATTATTTCTATTTATTTTAGAACTCTCTTATAGTACTTTAGAAATAATATGATCATAGGGTGTGTTGCATTGCACGTTAAATATGCATTTAAAGTTTTTAAATACAATTATACGGGAAATGAATTGTATGAGAATTCATCAATCGGAGTTTAAAAGTTTTTTCTACCCAGTGGCAAATCATCTTAAGATGGGGTAAGGGTTGGGGAACACCTTACCATATATTGATAGACGAGGGAGAAAAGGACAATACAAGGTAGGGGGGACTGGGCCAAAACCCACCTGAAGAGAGAACTAGACAACATAAGGAAAAACCGTAGCGGCAAATTTAAGAATATTGCTGAATCTAGTGGATTTGACATCAACCCCCATACTAATTTATTTGGCCGCGCAGTTGATCTTTTCGTGGACAAGAGTAAGGGTGATGTGGTTTTGATGCGAAATCCTGTGAATGAATGAGATGGTAAAAATCTGGTCCCAATGATTGATGAATTCAAGGTTAATGTCTTGGAAAACTTGTGGGTTATCGATTTGGATGTCTGTGTAGATGATGCCCCTGCCCCTACAAAAATGAGATAGTTATAGTAGGCCTCAATAAAACCCTTCACAAGACCATTTTAGGTCTGCTTCGGAGGGTCTTATTAGGGGATATATCATAATAAAGGGTGTTGTTTCTCATCTTCCAGAGATTCCAAAGAATGACAATGTAAGTAATAAAAGAATTGTGATGGGTCTACTTAAGAATGGTGTCCTTCATGTTGCCGTCCAACCGAGGACTCTGGACCTGAAAATAACTCCAAATTGGAGTGTTAGACTTACAATGCAAGAAGTAATGGTCGATAGAGTCATGATGGTTGCGATGCGGACACTTAAACGGACCATGAAACCCATTCTCTGGAGCGAGTCAGCACACAATAAGGTTGTTAGTAGTCCGCCAAAGGAAGAACGAAATCTTTTTAGGAATCGACTTCTTCCAAATAAGGTTGAGATTATTAATTTTGGGTTGTTTCTTCCTGATTTCATCATAGGTCGTCCTAAAAGTGAAAAACACCAGTGGTGGTGCAAGTCCAGTGAATAGTCCGGTGTCATATCAAAAGATGGACGGTTATTCATAAGGGTCGTGCTAATAGCCGGAGGGAGGTCTCCGACATGGATATGAATATTATCATAGGCCTCTCTGATAGAGATGGGGTCGTGGGTCTCGGTGAACAACCTATTAAGAGGTCCAAAAGGGCTCCAGTTGGAATCCCAAAACAGACTGCTTCTGTTATGCACCTCAATTTTAGTGTTCGCACTATACATATCATACACAGAGACCATAGAGGGTTAGATAATAGAAAGAGTGCAGGAAGCCCAATGCTTTGCCCCTTATCTTTTTTCCACCATAGTTTCAAAAAGAAGTTGTCATGTACATCCTGTAACATGCAAAAACCCAAACCATTTCGTTAAAGGGATAAAAGCATTTTTCCCATGACCTCCATCTAAAAGAGGAAGGAGAAATATGATCCTTTTGTCAAAGAAATTTGTTGCAACAGTTTTCAATGCCCTGAAGGACCCCTTTTGGGACCTTAGAGGAAGTCGTAGTATAAAGGGGGGAAGGTAGCCAACTCGTGTTTGATCAAAATAATTTTGCCAGCTTGGGAGAGAACTTTGTTCTTCCAGCTATTGAGGCATTGAACAATCTTAATCACATGGTGTGAGAAATAGATTTTTTCTCTCTTCCTAGGTAGATTACCTCTGTTCATTTTCGAAACGTGTTTAATCATATTATTTGTACTAGGGGGAGTTTTTGGGCCAGTAAAGAAAGAGCTTTTATCAAAATTAATTTTTTGTGTAGAGATAATTAATGTTTCTGGTGAGAACTTTCGTAACAATAATGAAAAGGATGGGAGAGAGCGGGTCTCCTTGTTTGACCCCCTGATTGGGGTTGAAAAAGCCATAAGGAAAACCATTTATAAGAATAGAAAACCAGGTCCCTTTCAAATTGTTGAGAATAAGATTATTGAAATGCGGTCAAAGGCTTTGGTCAGAGAAAATTTAGTCGACTATGGATAACGTTGTCAAAATGACTCGATGTCTGTAAGGTTAGCCTATTTCATCTCATTTCACGGTAGATTAGAGTTGTTACTTTTTAACATGATGAACTTACCGATTCATAAGTCAACTTGCACAGGTTGTAGATTAAGTGGGTTGACCCATGCAGGTTGTGACATACCAAAATATAAATATCAAATTTTTACTTTCATTGTCTTCAATATCAATGGATTACCACCAAAATTATTTTCAAAAATACTTAATATTTTACCACCTTTGTTGAAGTATTATTTCTATAATAATTATTCAAACAAATTATTCTAGCATGTTTTTATGTTATAGTTGAAAATAATTTTTTAACATTTAATAATCATTGCTTACAAATATTTACTCAAAGATATAATTGAGTTGATCTAAAGGCTGAAAATGCACAATGGTATTTTGGTAATAAAAATTAACTTTTTTTTGATGCAACACTTTAAACGTTAATATGCAACTATGTATTTCATGGCATAATAATATCCAATAAAATAGCATAAAGATGCATTGCACAAAGTTAGCACAATAAGCACATTTAGTACTGGATTCATCCCCTAAAGTTGAATAGTTTTTTCTTTAATTTATTGTGTTGTCACATGTCATTTGTCATACAAAGGATGTTGCCACATGCCAACAATTCTTCTAAAGGGCTCTTTAAAAGTTTGCTTTATTATACTCCGTATTATATAGATATAGATATAGATACGAGATGGTGTTTTACTAAAATTTATACTATGCATCACACGAGTATGAATCTAGTATTTTTATGAAAGCTCCTGGTGCTCATTAGTTCAAATATTTATTATTCAAGTTGGGCGTTTGCAATATACACGTTCCACCTTCAAGGGGGTACAACTACACATGTATACATTATATACATTATTATACGCCTTTTGGGTCATCTCAATTTATTGCATGTATTATTTATTTAGTTATCCTATTATGCTAGTTCCGAATCAAATGAAAGATGTCCTTAACGTAAAAATTTCAAATTTTTTACCTTTTACCCAAAGTGATGCACTTTAAGGTGATCTATTGCACTTTTTGAACTTGAGTCGAGACATGCCAAATAAAAAAATGTGGTAGCATTTTGATAAAGTCAAACTTTTCTCTCAATGCGAAAAAATGCAACATATAAACCTGATAGTGCATCATATTGGAAAAAGTGAACAATTTGCAATTTTCACAAGAAGAATGGTGTTTATGTAATCTGCACCCCTACTTTACTTTCCACATGGAATGCTTTGTACGTTATAATGCATGACCTATATATGCATAAATGCATGTTTGTATAAGTCTTCTCTCTAATAGTGTAGAGAAGGAGAACAGAGAATACTTAATTCCCATCCAAAACTGTCCAAAGTCGATAACTACTGAGTAGTGAGTACCTAGAAACCCATCCGATTAGGGACAGTATGTATGATATACCTTTTTTTTTAAAATATGATATACCTATTATATCTTCATATAAGCGGATAAGCCATATTACACTAGTACATATCCACTACGAAATATAATGCATGCAACAACAACTGCATACTTACGCAAGTTCCCGAAGTTAGTGCGAAAGACTAAGACGACAGGTTTATTTAGTCTTTAACTTACACAATTTAAGACACCTCCTAACTGAAATTTTGTAAAGCAATGTCCTGGCATGTTAAATTGTTAATGAACTTTCCTCAACATCTCCAGGATGGAATCAGCATCTCTAATGTCCTGACTCTCTTGCGACTCTTCATTATCTTGAGAGAAATCAACACTGGTGTAAGTCCGTATTCCCGGGCCCCGACCAAGGGAGTCACTCGCCCGCCCTTGTTGAGCACGTCTCACTTCCTTCTGATGTTCGGTCAGCTCACCAAATTTCCTTTTCCCGCCCACTTCTGTTTTCTCATGAGCAAACTCAACTCTTTTGGACCACCGGTTAAGGGAGGAGGCAGTGACCTTCCATATCTTTTGAGAGGGCGGAGTTTTTCTGGAGAGACTCAACCTCCTGTTCCTCGAGAGCTTGTCAAGAACGGGAAGTAAGGTTTCAGGGTATTGTAAATTTATCTGTTCACCATATGTGGCGTTCCAAAACTGGATGGATGGGTTGGAAATGTTTGGATCTGGGTGATCTAAAGTTTTCTCCAGAAGGGGGGATTGCAGTTTCAGAAATGATGAATCGAAGTTCAGCGCTGTTTGGCTGCTCTTCTGCAGATTCTTCAAGATTTCACTCCATAACATATGCAGTTGATCTTTGAAGCCATCGTCTTGGACATCCGTACACGACAGCCACAGAAGAAGCGGTTTTGTTGTAATCTGAATGGGGAGTGGAAACATAAAATCAAAATTTCAATGTACAACTGATATGAAGGTAAAGATATTATTTTATGTTGGTTAAAAAAATAACACAGAAAAAGACTTTAACCGAAATAGGGGTGGGTTGGGACTGGGAGTCAGGGACAACTGAGACTGATTGTTAAAGTGTCCACCTAGATGAATATATCAACATGAATTAAACTTTACCTATTGAGAATTCTTTTTGGAGTGACTACACTTTAACAAGTACCCATATTCAAGGTTGATTTGCTCTAACTATCCACTTTTTTACAAGGCATGGTAAATCACTTCATACATGTCAAATAGTCTAAAAGACAAACCTCGAAAAATGAGATAAAACCATGATGTAGTGGAAAACACCCAATGAAGTTGGCCAGTTTTGACAGTATCCTGAAACTCTATGAGATTAGAAACTCAGAACGAATGACAGTATGATGTATATAAAAGAACTAACTTTCTTGCAAAAAAGACCTAATAAAGAGCAGTTATCAGGATGATACCTTGATGCTAGAGTAAAGCTCATATGCAAATTTCCTTCTTCAATCACCCAAGGCATCTTCATGAACCTGTGCGCAGACGGATATGATTGTTTCTTTTCCCAACTTTCAGGTTATTCAGATGAAAACTTCTAACTAAGCATACTTTTAAAGTCATTGAAGAATCCAGATAATTTCATATCTGCAAAAATCTAGAAACTTGACCAGGAACATTCGAAATCTACCATCACTCCATCACCATATCCATACTCCACAGTAAGACATATATGAGATGTTATTGGATGAAGTGACTATCTAAGATCTGATGCTCTAAGGGCATATTTGCATCCTGGAAAATATTTGGGAAAAGAAAAAATAATGGAAAATGACAAATATAATGGAAAATGAAACAACACATTAAATGCTTATAATAAACTATATAGATTTCCCAGTTCTTATATACAAATATAATAATAATAATAATAATAATATAATTATTATTATTATTATTAAACTTTCCCTCTCTCAAATCAATCCCCCCAGGGACGTAGATTAAGAAAATAAAAAAGTGTCGTGTGTTTTATTTAAAAAGGTAGAGCCCAGTGCACATTGGCGCCCTTGCAAGGCGAGGGTCCAGGAGGAGTCTCACCACCAGTGTATAAGGGACAAACCTTCTCTTGTCATTTTGACAAGAGACCGCTCCCAATGCTTGAACCCGATGACCTCTCAATCACACAGCAACACCGTAACTGGTGTTGCCAAAGCTCCCCTTCAATATGACTTATTTAAAGGATAAAAATAGCATGGACTACATAATGCTTTCTTTGAAAGGAAAAATGAGATGATCTAGAGATGAACCGATAAAGAAGTGGATGGTTAAGGACTGGTAGTCTGGTGGAGTAATTAATAAGTAAACAATAAATAAATGAATGAATAAAATATTGAAAATGGTGATATTCTTTGAAACAATCTTTCACTTCCAATCAACATACCGTTCCTTCAATTTCTCCATAGCTTTTCCATAGCATTTTCAAGGTTCTAAACGGACCCTAATAGAGCATTTTTTTGGAAAATGCTTCGAAGGAAAGTGTTCTCCATTGCTTCCCAGGTGACCCAACTTTATCATGTCCAAGGCATCACCAAATATGGGTCACTTTTTCTTTTCAAATTCCCAACAAAGTTTAAACTTTCCAGGCTCACAGACGTTCTATAACAACATAGGGTATTTTCGGATCATGGAAAATGCTCGAGAAAAGAATAAAATTGTAAATATGTTTGCTTATGATTTGACTATGCCTTGGAAAGTGAAAAATAAAAAGAATAATGATTAGTTTTATAGAAATATAAAAAACACAAAGCTTTACATTTCTTAGTCTTTATATAGACCACATAAATAAATACAATGACTATCAAGAAATATCTAAAACAAATTTAGTGTTTACCATATTTTTCATTTCCCCCACATTTTCTTCCTTTTAAATTTTCTGTTGTGGTTTTCTTTTAATTTTGTTTCCCTAGCATTTCCAAAGTTCAAATGGGCCCTTAGAGAACAGCAATCAATAAATGGGTTTCTGCAACATAAAATGAAGCCTACCTGAGAGCAATTTCCAAGCTTATAATGGCATTGTTGAGGCTCTCAGGATCATGATATTTACTTTTATGCTTATTGTTAATAGCCTGCTCCAAAACACATATCATTGCATTTCCTAATAACAGGATAAAATCAAAGTCACCACACTTCTCATCAAAGTTTCCATTCAAAATTCCAAACATGTCCCTTGTCAAATCCAAATGGCAAATTTGTGAGCATTGACAGATAGAACCATAAAGTGACTCCCATGCATCAGTAACACTCGAAATCTCAAACTGCATCTGAATGACAGAATAAGCAGCAAACGGATAGTTTAGGAGAAGCATAACTGCAGAATAACTGGGGATGTCTTCCATTATGTACTCTTTCAGACATTTTGCAATGGTTAGCCATATCTCGAAGCAATTTGATTCCTTGTGAGTATATAATAAACCAACGAACACCCTTAGCATCTCCATTGTGTCATATGAAGAGAGTATCAATTTCAGAAAGCTGCACATCTCAGGGATGACAGGCAAAGGAAACTTGATCACTGTGATAAAGTAGAGCACACATATATACACTGCACGAGAAACCTTTCTCATATAAGCCACACCATCAATATCTGATGTTTTGAGATTCCTACAAATTGGCTGTACATTTTCAAGGGCTTCTATATCCAACTCCACTTTGTATAGGGGGGATTCAAGTACTGAAGGGTCTAACTCCTCCACTGCAGCATATAAAAGTTGAAGGGAGATTGTACTGCTCATACCTGTTTTTTCACGCAAGTCCTGGAAAAACTTCACAATAACATTTAGACATAGTATAACCTCATCATAAGTGACAATTGATGATCTTAAGATATTCTGAACTGATCTCAACAGAGATCTGAATAGCCTTGTAGCAGCATTGTGTCTCAACATTACTAATATTTCGGGCCCCACAGGATCAGATCTTTGATTGAACAAACAATGTATCATATCAACAAAAAACTCCAGTTGACTTAGATCCCAAGGTGACCATTTGATAGGAGAGAATTCAGTACCTCCATGGAGAATTGCGCTTTCATTTCGACCACTTCTTGTTAATATAAAATTATCAAGTAGTTCAATGCAAGAATTCCAGGAGCACATGTTCTTGTCCTTAGGTCCAGTTTCGAATACAAGTTCAAAAATTGGTTGACACACTATTCTGACCACTGGATCATGGCTGACAGAAGTATCAAGCTTATGCAATAGATAACACCATGTGGAGAGACATGATGCATGAGCAGATAAATCACATCTACTGTTCATAATTCCTGTAAGAGGTGTCATTATAAGCTCAATCTTCTGGGAAAATCCATTTGGAATGGTCCTCTTACAGTCCCCTTCGTCTACTTTCACATCATCTGCAGCATTCCCGGTAGCGGAACTGGTTTCAGGGTCATTAAATGGTGGACAGATTAATGCATCAATGAAACCTTCCCAGGAAACCTGAGATTAAGGGACATAAGTACATAACCACCTTTATTGAAGATAAAGCTTAAGCCCTTGTTTGGTTGAGGATTCTGGAGGGAAGGGAAGGGGGTAAATATGTATTTGTTTTATTAATAATAATGTGTGTACATTGAGGTTGGAAAGAAGGTGGAGATGACAATTTATCTACAAATACATGAGTTAATTAAACTTGCACGTGTAGTTAAATGCTAGTCTATTGCAAATAAAAAAGAGATAAGTAAAGCACAAAGCAATGAACCCTCACCCTCCTCCAAAACCCCTCAACTAAACAAGCCCTAACATTAAAATCATTCTAAAAGAAATGGCGGTGGCATAGTAAAATGGCTCATGTGTGTAAGCCTCACTTTCCTTTTTGGTTTCTCCCACAATTATCACTGTTCTTTTTTTTGAGCCCCACTAACTTTATACTTTTCGAAATTTACCCTTTTCTGGTTTGACATATTGAACTATATGCCCGACTTTTAATCAAATTTACCCACTTTTTAATGAGTAACAATGGGAAGTTAACCAAATATCATTTGTTTCTTAACATTTGTGCGAAAAAACATAGACCTATATTTGACACCCTCATGTGGGGGGGCTGTATATTTATTGGAGAGGGTATTGATAATTTGATACGGAGTATGTGTTTTAGAGGCACAAAACTCAACCTAGCCTTCATCAACATGATTGATAAAAATGTTTGAAAATATTTAAGCATTTTATAGCTGCTATGTGTACCCCAATTTCATCACACAATAATGATCAGAGTTAAATGTCCATCCCACTGCACTGCAAAAGTTAAAGAGTGTTCGCACTTAAAAGTAACAATACCAGTGAAGCAATCTGAACTTGTGGATCAAAGTCTGAAAAAGTCTGTGTTGGAAGTTTGAGCAACTCATTGACTAAATGCTTATGTTTGGTCAAATAAGGTCCAAGTAAGCGCATACACCATCCCCATGCTTTTAGAGCCTCGATCTTCTCCCCGTGATTGATCATGTCTTCTATTTCAGAAAGCAATTTTTTCTTCAAGTCTAGGACAACTGCCTGTGTAAAAATGACACGGATTCATATCTCCATGATGGCTTGATACGGTGCAAAATTTATATGGCAAGTAAATACTACCAATAGATAGTCTTTAAACATCTCTAATGAAGAAACTTATGCATGCAACTTTATAATACCTCCCCCGGTTCCTTTTTTCCTTTAATCTAGGCTCTATTTTTCCCAGGTCGTTTTCTCCCTTCTTCTAGGCTCCGTTTGCTTACATGGAAAAAACTTACTATGAGAAACGTTTTCCTTTGAAAAAGTCTCGCGGAGTTGTTTTCTATGGAACTTTTCCTGGGAAACAAGTTGTTCTATGGACAATCTAATGTTTAACCTACAAAATAGATACCATAAATCTGTTTCAAAAAGTCATTTTCCACAGGATTCGAGAGAATGAGAAAATATTTTACGGAGCTAATCAAAGGAAAAACTCTCCAGGAAAATAATTTTTGAGCCACACTGGAAAGTCATAAAACATTGTCCTGGTAAACATTTTCCAAAAACATATGGTACCTAATGGCTAATCATGCTAGATTTAACCAAGTATATACAATTCATGCATGTGCAGAGAATGGCAACCAAAGCAGTTTTACCTTGGAAAGAGTGACCGGTGGAGGACATATAATGCTCTTCAATTTTAGTAAGCATCTCTCAGACATTTCCCTCTCCCTTTTATTATCACTTGTAAGTCTTCTATAAAGGGGAGGAACCCATAAATGAGATAAGTTTCTCATCTTTTCACCTAATGAACCAGCCAACTTCATCACAGCCTGCCTTTAAAATCAGCAAAGAATGAGCACAATACTTTACGGTTTCAGAATACAGTTTAGATATCTGTATTCCTTAAATCAACATTGGCATCATTATTAAAGTCGGCATATTAAGGACTACGATATTGTATGCCTGAATAAAAACCAAGCTTTAAAGAGGAAGTTGGTTTGCATAATCAGGTAATTCATAAGTAAGGGCATTTCCGCTAATCTTTTCTAATTACCATTTTCTGTATTTTAACTAAAACCAGTATTGTAAAAACCAGTGGAAAAAAGATTTCAATTTTCTACTGGCAGTTTAAAAGACTACCATGATTAGTATAAGCATTACTAATTTTTAGTTCACCATACATCATATATCATATCACTTAAAATCATAAATTAAAACAAATAGAAAAGCTGAAAAGTGACAGTAATATGAACAGGTTTTAACTAGTCCAAACAGCACACATGAGCATTCATATTCTCCAATTCAGAAAAAAGAAAAAGGCTTTTGTCCTATGATCTCAAAAAAGTTCTTCTGCTTTCATTTTAAGTACTCCTAATCCTTTTCACAAAATACAATTTGTTTAAAGTCAGCACACAGAATTTTAATAAGAAATAATTCCTGAAATGGGTAGATCACTTACCTGCAGAGCCTCGAATGTTACAGAAAGAGAGCCCATAGGATTATTAAGGCCATAGACAATTGCCCTTAACAAAACATGAAAATGTTTGTCCAATAGCGGAGTCGTAAACTGTTGCATTGATATACACCACAAACCCAAATTGCAAACCCACTGCAACCACCAATAAACAACACTGCTCATTTACTTATTCTCCATATTTCTCCATACATGGTTCAAGTCCAACATAGCACATTTAACACTCACTAGAATTTTAATTTACCTTTATCTTGGTTGTTGTAATAACCTTAACAAGTGACTCAACAATCAAGTTGGCATCATCACCTGCATCAGTTCAATTGAAATGGCATCAGCTGATCAGGTCAACATTATATGACCACCTATATTGCACCAATACAGTAGAAAACTCGTTTTGAATTGGGGCCTTATTTCTATTTTTGTTTCCCTCCAATCCCCAACTTGATGCTGATTCTGGCAGGTGACTCCATAAATTAATCTAACTAGTTAGTACTACTCTGTGTTACTTAGGTTAACTTACAACTTCCAAGTTCCAATTATTTATGTTGTTCAAATGGAGATGATATTAAAATGTTAAATATTAAGTAGTGTGTATTATGTCCAAAGGTTAATTAATTAATATATGCATTATCTTTAATGTCTCAAAACGAGTATTGTTGAAGAAAAAAACTATTACCCATTCACCAATAAGAGTAGAACATAACACATTTGCATGAATGAGACCACTATTGCTTTTCCCCAAAATACGACTTATTCACTCCTTCAAAAACAAATTTCAACTGTTGCTTTTTTCAGGGACTAAATAAGTTCTCTTTGGGTATACAAGATAATTAGTCCTATTTGTGAATTTCGTACATAATCTTGCAACAAGACTATCAAGTACCACCACAACAAACCAACATAATCAGTTGAAATGGGCCTATCAAAGAAATCCAAAGGCTGGGAGATAAAGTGCTATCAAAAAAGAAACCAAAGGACTGACCTTTGAATGAAGCAAGTATGGAAGGATGATAAACCATAAACCCCAAACACTTCAAAGCCTGTACAGAACTAAATTAAACCACCAAAAACAAAGGCACTGTTATTTCAAAGATAAAGAAAGAAACTTTTAGTGACTAAGTTAACAATGGAAAAAGGGGTTCGCGTCTAACATCATTTCTTCATCCTGATCGAAGATATCAATGAGAATCGACCGCAAGAGTGAAGAAGAAGAGCCCGCAAGCAAAGTGATGAAAGAAGGATCGGCGCTGCTGCTAGAAGAGAGGTGTTGGAGGTGCAGGAGTTTTGAATAAGCCAACTGCTTGCTTGTAGACGGCGATGATGACGATACGCCGGTTAGTACATCCTGGAGATCATCTATGAAACATTTTGCCATCCCTTCAGCCGAGAAAGCGGACAGATTCGCGGGAAGATGAAAATTGGGGTTTTAGTGAATCCGGAAATTTGAGATGGGTAATACGCAGTACATGGTAGTATACACCATAAATTGATCGATTATTATGGAGGGAAATTTTTTGTCTTGGAAGAAGCCTGGCAGCTTTTCGCGCCAACGGAGTACTCAATTACTCATAGTCTAGCTCTAAACTTGGCTTTGAAGTTTGAACATAGGCCCATATCAATTTTTGTGCTGTAATGTACGGAATAATGGAAACAATAATTCTGCTTGAGAGAAAATAGATCATGCCAGGACATGCCTAATTGAGACGTAGTATAACTTCTACGGAGTTCTACCTTAATACTGTTATTTGTGACTGGATAAAAATATTTTATCCAGTCACAAATACTCCCTCCGGTTCTAAATAAATTTTACACTTTCCTTTTAAAGACGGTCCAAAATAAATTTCATACTTCCTTATTTCCTTATTTGGCAAAGAAATCTACATCAAAACAGTGTTAAACAGTGCTAGATAGTGCCAAACAGTCAATAGCGGACCCAGAGATTCGTGAGAGCATGAGCACATTAGACAATAAAGTGAGTAAACTTAGTTTTACCCTAAGTGATACTAGTGAAATTTCGGGTCCAAAGCGGGGGCACTGGTTTTTATCCTAAGTACTACTAGTGAAATTCCGAGTCCAAAGCTGGGGCACACTTGCCCCACCTAGCCCCCCTTAGGTCTTCCACTGCAAACAGTCTCTCAACAGTGCCAAACAGTGTCTCAATAGTGTACTCTACAGTAAAGTCAAATTTATTTTCTAAATCAATGTGAAGTCAAACTGTGAAGTTTAAAAAGATCCGGAGGGAGTATTATTTTAGTTAATTTTTAGGCATTAAATCTTAGTTTTGGAAATTGAGCGTGTTGAATCTTATGTGGGAGTTATATTTTTACGTTAGGGTGACAAGTGTATATACGAATGCTACAAAGATAACTAGAGCATCATAAGAATACGTACATTTTTTATTTATATTATAATTTTACGATAAGTTATCACAACAATAAAAAAAATTAATTTAAGAGAGCTCCCTTCTTTACATTTTCAATGTGACGAAATAATGAGTAAAATGTACGGAGTAACATTTTAGTATTAAAAGATTATAGTATGTACTCAGTATTTCATATCAAGTTGAATTTGAAAGAAGAGTATTAGAAAAAAACTTGAGGTGCATAATAAAGTAATTTAGAGGACGGGATATTATGAATTCTTTAATATCGGGTTCAAAACAGTTATATTTACTTGTTAGCAAAAAAACAATTATATTTACTTGAGATGCTTATGTAGAAGATCATATTAAATATTTTTCATAGACTTTTTTCTTTGTTTTACAAATGGAATATATTTTACATATTTTTTTCATCATTTAGAAGATTTCACCTATTCAGCCCATCCAACCACAATTTAATAAATTTCAGCAAAATAAGCTAATTCGACTAATTGTAGTATTATCAAACAGACTCTATATTAGAGTGAGTTTAATTTACTTTTGTATCAAATTATTTAATACCCCGAAAAAAATCAAATTTAAAACTAGCTAAATTACACACTTCCCGTGCATCACAATTCACACGGGCTTGAAAACTAGTTAATTAAATAAAAAATATAAATAATGATTAGAGGGGAGGATGGCTCACGCCACTCCTTCCTCTCTTCATAATTATTTATATTCTAACTTTCTTTTAATTCTAAATTATAAAATACCAACTTTATTTAAATAATAAATACATCTTAATTAAGAATAATACATCTGATTATCTTACTCAACTATTTCTATCAAATAGAAATATCCTTCAACTTCATGAATTAAATATGTTTAATCTAATTAATATTTAATCCAATTTCAGTATTACGAATTAAATATTATTTAATCCAATTAATAATATTTAATTTCTTCTAACAATTCAATCGGAAGGTATAATCACTTGTTGTGTGACCCATATGGCCTTATATATTAAGAACTAATCAAATCAAGGTCTTAGCAGAATCCCTAGACGATTTACCATACAAATTTAATATATAAGGACGTTTGCGAGGAATATTCAAACTCTCTGTAATGTAGAGCTCCCTTCATGAAAAAGTGAAGTAATGTTCGGCGAATCTAGACGGCTTACACGGCCGATTAGACGCTCTAGGCAGGCAACTAGGCGCCATAATTCACCTAGACGGAAATTCAATTAGTCGGAGCGTCTAGACAAAAATCGGGACGCCCGACCACCGCCCAGTGCCTAGAACAATTTTTAGATGTATTTAAATTAGTTATGTACTTATCATATCTACTTATATTTTTATTTTTATTTTTTACTACTTACATTTTTATTATCTACTTGAAAAAGTCATCGCGGACGTCTCCCTATAGTTAGGGTTGGGATTTTCTCGGCGGCGTCTTCTTCTCTTCTATCGCAAAGGGAGATCGGCGTCGGCTCGAGTCGTTTGGTTGGGCTGGAACGGGCTTGAGTCTGGTGCACAACAGTTCGTTGATCACAGCGGAGGGAAGGTTTCGCTTGGGTCATGGCCTGCTCGTTTGTGTTGCTGGTTTCGGTTGGGGAAATACCATCAAGCGGAGATTCCAGGTTCACTCGTGCTATAATTGCAGGGGTTAAGAAGGTGTCTTTGGAAATTGTAGGATCGCAAGGAATTTCTCAAGACGAAGGATTGATGATCTGTCCCCCTCCTGAGCCACCGCCAAGGGTGACGCTTGAAGCAGGGGTTCGTTTTTGCTGTCAGTTTAGTTTATTTAATTTCGTTTTACTCTGGTTGTGTTTCTTCGACATGATTAATGTCGTTGTTGCTTTCTGTATTGTGTTTTTCAGTCAGACTCTTACATTAGGTAGGGGTGATGAAGATTTACTCTGACCACGTTTGGCTCATATAGACCCATTATAGGACAAGCGAATCATATTGCTCTATACAGGGTGATTGGTTCTCCAGCTGGTCCGAGAGTTGGTGGCTAGAAGTGTTTCCTTTGTCGTTTGTATCCCTTGCTGAATGTTTTATTATCAATATAAGCCCCCTTGTTACAAAAAAAAATATTAAGTGTGTGTGTATAAGAAAACCAAGCATTCCAGCCCAGCTGGTTGCGAGGTTACCGTGATAGTGGGATGTCTTGAGTTCTAATCTCGCTAGTCACATAAAAGGGTTAAAACTCAATAGAGTGAGTTTCAGCCCTAATTACATTCCCCCAGCTCCCAGACCCTCAAAAAATGGAAGACCAGCTATTGTTAACTTGACTTCTAACGACGGGGAGCACATTTAATGTAATTTGGCCAACTCGGGTCGCGGGGGTGTAATTTGAAATCTGAGAAACTCGAGTCTGAGATTTTAAATCTGGGGATAACTGAGGGACCATATATGTGATTTTCCCTAAGATTAATGAATAGCTCGAGGATGACGACAAGGAAGAAGAGGAGCCAGCAACAACAAAGAGGAATAAGGCATCCGTACATCCCAACCCGATCTGAATATTTTATTATGGAAATAATTTTGATAAGGCCAAGAATCTCTAAGATGGGAACTTTGGGAAGTGGTACGCAACTTGCAAACATATGCAACTTGCAAACCATGTAAGCATTAAAAGGTCACTTCAAAGGCGTTTGGTTCTAATTATGTGAAATTCTCTTGGAAGCTAATATTATACTTGTATGATTGGACTTGCATTCTTACAAGATTACCAAAAAAGGCATTCTGAGATTACATTACACTATTTGGGTTTCAAAATTACTTGATTAATTTTATATTACAGGCTGCTGCTGCTACATGCACAACCATAAACACGAGTGCATGACGATGAAAATGCTAGATTTGATTTATCAATTTTAGTCTTGAGCAGAAGGTTAGACCTATAGATTGTATTGATAAATCCTATTTTATCAGTGCTAATAAGGAACATAGGGGAATAATCACTACATCTAGGAATCAACAAAATCAAAACTTTTTGTGCTTTGGAGTGAAATAATAGGATGACAGTGAATGTGTGAATTTATTATTACAGTTTTGGGTGCCTTTATGACATTTAACATACCAGATAAACATAACACAGGAGCTTTGACAAGCTATGAGTCTATGTCGCTATGACAGGATCCAGCATGAGGGGTGAAGCCACACTTGAACATAGATTTCAACATGTAGATACAAATAAGTGAAATAAAACAAGTATACAGTCGAAGTTTGTCCTCTTATCCCCCCGCCCCGCTTAGAGTTTCTCGAGTACTAGCACATTTTATGTGGATTAGTTACTCTGCATGGTGGGACTGTGGGAGTATCTATGGACTATGAAGAGATTGTCAAAATGACGAAATTTGAATAGTAGAGATAGTTGGAGGAGGTAGGGATGGGGTTACAAATCTGAGGCGCACAAATATTGTGGTTTTTTCATATTGATCTCTTTCTATTGTTAATTATAGAAATAATAAACAAATACCGAGCAAAAACTTTGGTATTAGACTTCCAATTTACCACCACATTGTTTTCTATGCAAATTTGTGGTCCCATTTTCTCCATTTGCATTCTCGATATTGCAGATTATTGCTTAGTCATCGACTACGGCCAATGCCCAGTTTGGGTAAGCCCCGATTTAGCCCGTCCAGCAAAACACACGCCTTGCACCATTTCTGCAAATTGAGGAACAGAAGTTTATGGGTCCATTTGGTAAGTGTTACTGATTTTTCTCTAAGGAATTATACCACCCAGTTCAGCAAAATAAACAAGGGCTCATTTGAATCACCGTCAGTTTTTGATTTTTTTTATGACATCAAAAAGTGCATGATATATGTTGTATAATGAACATAAATATAATCAGATTCATACTAAACATGTTAAAATTGAAAATTGCCAACAAAAAAATGGATACAACTTTTTATAGTATTCAGAATCTTGTTTGTGATTTCCTAAAAAGCAAAAACCGATACCATTAAAAGAGTCAAAAACCATAACAAGAGTCAAAAACCATAAAAAGTTTGGTAGAATGATTCAGTTTATTTTGCTTATCATCAGAATACTAGTTCTTTTAGTGGCTGAAATGGATGTTACTAAAAGCTCTATACAACAACATCCAAGCCTTAGTCTCAAAAAATTTGGGGTCAGCTGCTAAAAGCTCTATCATTCAAATAATTTAGTGAATTCAGCCGTTTCACCCAAACGACCATTATTAAACCGGCTCTTATTAGCCATAAAAGAGCAAAGTCAGCAAACCATTTTGAGAGAGGATTTATATAAAAGAACAAACTGTTTCCTATTCCACTAACCCCTAGAGAATAGGCAGGAAAATAAATGTAAAATCATCTTCTTTTCACCTGGCTTGAAATATAACCACACCGTTCACAATTTCCTAGTTCTGGCATTTTTGTGGATGTTGAGATCCTGAAGTCCTCACCAGATTTTATTATATCCAGTATGCCCTGTGGCCTGTAATTAGAACATATAAAGACATAATATAGGAAAGACATTTTCAGCAAGGAAAGACAGCTTATGGAAGCCAACATGAATTTTAACCTGATTCTCTCTAAATCCTTAATAAACTCACGAGCAAAGCCACGGTATGCATTTGGAGAGTAAATGCCTGAACCACACAAACTAGTTGTAATTGTAATACTATAACATAACAAATATAAAAAGTAGATGTGATTTAGACTTACACTCAGTGGAGAAGTAATCCAACTTTTTAAAGTACGCATACGTACTCAATAAGTTAAGGAAATGCAATTAATAATAGTGTAATGACGAGAATAAGAAATTTACTTTAGAGGTTTACAAGAAATGAAGAGGTACTCAAAAACAAAAATATCAATAAAGGATATGTTCTGAAGCAAAAATGAATGAATTGAAGGATATATAACAATTTCCTTCTCGTAGGTGTACTTGAAAGGCTTGCATCTTGGAATCGGTCCATCTTCCCCAGTAATTACAGATGTACATCTACTCAGCCTAGTGCATTTTCAGGAATATTTGACCGTGTTAACTAAATCTTCACAAATAAAAGAGGGGGAAAGATAATAGGTCATGCAAAACCAACAAAAGAAATTGCTACCTGGCAATATCCCCACGCAAAATGTTCAAAAGGACTGTTTCTGCTATATCATCAGCATTATGCCCAGTTACTAACTTGTCCACTTTCAGTAAAACAGCACCTCGGTCAAGGGCCTTCCTTGTTTAAAAAACACAACTACTTGATAACAGCATTTATTATTATTTCTTAACTTTATCCTTCAATGCTTAATTAATGTGGAGCAACTTTCCACATTCTTACTCTCAGAAATCTATCTAAAGAAAAGAACTAAAATGACTCATGTGGCAAAATTTGTTAAAATTGCTTGCAATGTGATGCTGGAATTTTGCTGGTATCTAAAAGATTACTTACAATATAATTTTCCATCAATAAAAGAAAATAATATATAATGCAAAGGAAGAAGTGTCATTTTCTTCTATTTCAACCATTCCAGCCAAAAAAAGTAACACACGGAGTGCTTTTTCTCATTGTCAACCGATTAAACCAAAACACATACTACCTCCGTCCCACTAACATTGAGACATGATGAGGTGAAGTGGTTATTAAGAAAAGTGGATTTATGTGGTTGATATTGAATTGATAAATTAAGAATGTCTTAGAAGAATACAAACTTTACCAAAATTCGGTATGTGACAATCTTAGTGGGATGGACCGAAAAGGAAAAATGAGACAATCTTAGCGGGACGGAAGGAGTATTTACGATCCGAATATTTGAATTGAGAAGATACCATTTGTGCATCCATAGTGTAGAGAAAGTGAAGCAAAGATATTACTTTACCTGGCGACGAAAAACGCCACAAAAAGTGCAGTTGTTCTTCAGACCTATCAACTTTACTATTTCATCCATTGTCCACCCATACAACTCGTTATAGGAAACAACTTTTAGTGGAAGTCCATACTAGCAAATACAAACAATAAGACCCAGAACCATTAAAAAGTATGAATGAATACTTTGAACACAAAATTTCACCCCTGCATGGGTTCAATGGTCACAAAAAGACTTTTAACAAACGCAATGTCAAATGCCGACCTGAATTTCATTTCTTTTAACAGTTTTAATAGAATCATCCCGGTATCCAGTGATGCCTTCATCCACAGATAAAAGGAAGAGTTCAAGTCCATAGTTATGCCTTTGATTCAGCTCTGACAAGACATATGCAAGCACCGTAGAATCTGAACCACCACAGACAAACAAAGAAGAAAAATAAAAAGGAATCAAATCAAGGCACTATTAAACTGTAAGAATTAAATTAGCAGAAGAAATGGAATTCATCACATGAATTATTGTCACATATAGTAATAAAAAGTGAAGTCATCTACGCCATATTCTCAATAAATCTCAAACAAATAATGCATTATAAAGTCAAGATACAAGGCACGATAGCTGAATCAGATATTCCTAATAGTATCAAATAAAAAGTAAAAAGCTCGTTTTCTAGCAATAAAAAGAAACTTTGAAGCTAAATTTAAAACTGACAAAGCATAATGAAATTATCAGACTAACATGTCAACAGGAAAAAAAGTCTTCATTTTAGTGTATATCCATTCCTTCTTGTGTTTTAACTTGGTGAACATTGAGGTCAATAGTCACACAATCATGAATGATTTCTATACGATGCGTAAAACCAATAAAAAAATATTTGAAATATTTCAACATAATTTCACTAAATACACACTACATCCATCCCAAAATAGTCCCAAAACAAGTTCTTACTTGCCTTTTCATAGCTGGATATCCAAAAGTTCCAATATTCATGAAAATTAAATATTTAATAGGAAAAATCTTATTTTTGCTTGATTTGTCATACAAGTGGTGGAGGCTAGAGGGGAATCTCCAACAAACTTTTACGCAAAAAATGTTGGAGGAAAATGTATGGTCCATTGATAATGACACACAGGTGGATGATGTGTGGTTATCAATGGAGTCCACCTTTAACAAAGTGGCGAAAGAGATATTTGGAGAATCTAAAGGATGTCTACCACCAAAAAGGACACATCTTGGTGGAATGATGAGGTGAAACAAGCAATAAGGATCAAAAGGGAATGCTATAAGAAATTGGGCAAAAGTTGGAGCGACGAGAAAATAAAGGAGTACAAGGAGGTTAGAAGAAGAGCAAAGAAAGCTGTAAAGGAAGCAAGAGAAAAAGTGAACAAGGAATTGTATGCAAAATTGGATTACAAGGAAGGAGAAAAAGATATTTATAGACTTGCTCGTCTTCGTGACTGTAGGACTCGAAATATAGGAAAAGTTAAGTGTGTGAAGGATGTTGATCAAAGGGTACTAATGGAGGACGGGGAGATAAAAGAGAGGTGGAGGTAATACTTTGAAACACTACTCAACGGGAATAAATCGCAAGATATTGGTGACTTGACCATACCAGATTGTATGGTAAATCGTGATTTTGTGAGAAGGATCCAATCAACAGAAGTTAAGGAGGCTTTGAGGAAGATGAGGTGGAAGAAAGCAGTGGCCCAAATGGCATACCGATCGAGGCTTGGAGAAGTTTGGGGGAAAGAGGCGTCGAGTGGTTAACAAGTTTTTTCAACTTGATTTGGAGAAACAACAAGATGCCAACGAGTTGGAGGAAGAGTACTCTTATCCCCTTATTCAAGAATAAAGGTGATATACAAGAATGTGCCAACTATCGAGAATTGAGCTTATGAGTCACACCATGAAACTTTGGGAGCGAGTGATTGAGCAAAGACTTCGAAGAACTGTGAAGATTTCAGAGAATCAATTCGGTTTTATGCATGGTCCCTCAAAAACCGAGGCCATTCACCTTCTTCGGCAACTTATGGAGAAGTATAGAGATGCTCACAAGGATCTACATTTGGTGTTTATTGACTTAGAAAAGGCTTCTGATAGGGTACCTCGAGAAGTTCTTTGGTGGGCCTTAACTAAAAAGGCATATATCAGCATCATTTATGGATATGTATATCAGCATCATCATGGATATGTATGAGGATTGTACTACAAGTGTCCGAACTAATGTAAGGAGGACTACGGAGTTCCCTATTACTATCGGAGTGCAGCAAGGATCTGCTCTGAGCCACATGAATATAACTCTACAACACTGAGTAGCTTTGATGGTGCTTTATCTTTCACACTTTCGCCACATCAACTTTACGAGCACCATACCAATCTAACGATTTCAAGAAATTTTCTCTATTCAATGAACTTTCTCGCTCTTTATGACTAGGGAAAGACAACCCTTGTACCATTAAGAATCGAGCACAATCCACACTTGCATTCAAGCAAGTGTGGTATGCTGTTCCCAATACTTGTATTCTTGAAGATACACTTCTTGAAAATTTTTGAAAAGAAAAAATAATGTTTTAACATCATTGTGTACACTACCTGCACTTCCACAATCCACATGCTACCTATATCTATCAAAAGCCTTCTTCTAATTACGAAACATGGTTCTCACAAATACATCATTTCCAAATCTCTTTCGTTCTTCTCCATGAAAAAAGTAACACCAACAGAAAATACCGGCATATTTAGAAACACTACGAAGTTCGTGGGAAATTATGAGATACTGGTTGATGAGCACCTTTAACAACATGTTCTCTCCTCGCATCATCTCTAACATTAGAAGTTCGTGGTTTTCATAATGCTGGATCACTGATTATATCTCACTCACATGTACTTTCTGTTTGGGCTCGTTTGTCCCTATTAGTCTTATTAATCTCATCTCTAACAACATTTTTATTTAGTCTAATCTCATCAATCTCATTAATCTAGCATTCTAGCATTTTAAACACGAGAATAGATTGGTTAGGAAAGCTTGGAATACTATCTCCTTGAATCAAAGACCTCTTACTCGAAATTACAAAGTAGTAGTACTAATTTTGAACGTTTGGAGAACTATATTTTAAAAGGAGGGGTATTCATTATATTATGACTGGTAGTATTAATTTTAAGCTCGAAGTGGGACACTTATCAATGCACCTAGCTCCTCAACTGACATAAATATGGATATATCTACAAATTCAAAGCACAACATTATCTTAGGTAAAAGTAAATTTTGGACCTTTTCCACCGGAAGCACCAATTGCGATGCGTTCGCCGGGCTTGAAGAGGTGGTTGTCCACGATAACCATGTGGATCTCCTCTTCAAAAGCTGCGTAGAAGCATTCCCTACATATCTTTCCTTAGCAAAAACAACAGCGGTGCAATTAAGAAGAAGATAAGAAATGCAATAAAGAGGAAACGGTTACGACAACTACTTACAGGTTGAAGGTTTTTAGGGCGTTTCAGGGCGGCGCGTCTTTCGTTACAGATAACGCACTGTCGACCTTTAGGCTTCGCCGCTGTCGCCGATTCCATGAAGATTATCTGCCGCCTATTCTATGAGGGCTTCACCGAACTAATAATACGGAAAACTATAAAAATAATATACGGAGCAATAATACTCCGTCCGTAACTTCAAAACATGCGACGCGGCCGACGCCGTTTACAGGAACGGATCCAGAAAATTACAATGGGTAGGGCTGAGGGAAAAAATGAAAGATTGACGAAATCAACTTCTTCCTTTTAATGTTAATATGTTCATTATCCATTCTAAAAAACATTTTCAATGTTGATATGAATCAAAATAGTTCTATAGAAATATAAAATTATAAAACTAATAAGAAAAAAAACATTGTACATAAAATTAATAAGTATTCCCAATTTCAAAATTCAATTGAATTCTTCAATTTTTTCTTACGTGTCCAGACAATAATCAAATCATTCTCTAATCTTCAATTGTATTATCAATAAATCATTCTCTAAGATTTAATTTTATATTTAATCACTATAAATTTATAATAAAATTTTTGCCCCATTAGATCTATTTTATTATGCATAGAAAATTTCAATTAATAATCAAACCAATCTAACCCAAGGACGGCAAAGAGTAAAAATTTCAATTAATAATCAAACCATTCTCTAATGTACAAGTTAACAAAATCTCACAAAATAAGAGAGTAAAAATCTGAAGACTTACCTGCGCCAGAGCTGGAGGCAGAGGCCAGAGAGGAAGGACGGCCAAGTGGGCGACGACGCAGTCCCCTGGATGGCTGGAAGCGCGGCGTGGACGGCGGAACGCGGCGCGGCGTGGACGGCGGAACGCGGCGCGGCTGATGGTGTTCGCGCTTCGTAGCAGAGCTCGCTTGTGCCTCCGTCTTTGTTCTTTCGCGTTCGCTAGGAAGTTGAATATTGAGGCTTTGGGCTGTGGGCTGGGACTGGAAATAAATTTTGGGCAGGGAATAAATTTTGGGATGGGCTGATAAAAAAAATGGGCTAAATACACACCATTTTTTACTAACTGCAGCCTCCGTTTAAAACAAATTAGTTAGTTTTACAAATTTACCCTTCATCACATACTGCACCACCGACTAATATACTCCGTATTCTTTTCTATCGATAAAGCAAGAGCTGACCAGTCTTCATCACAGACTGCACCACCGCACCATGTGTCTCTGCACGACTGCACCCACCGGCCACCGCACTGCTCCAGAAGATTCAGATTACAGCTAGGTAAAAAAACTAGCACTTCTTTATTATTTTTATTTTTAAGAATAAAAGTAAGTACTTGGTAATCCTCCTGATGCTCAATTGTTCATCACTACTTAATACATATACTCTACTTCTATCTTCTATTCATTTGATTCATTAAAATTTCAATATACAAAGAACTTCCGTTAATAAACTCATTCAGCGGTTGATTCTGCATCTACTTTTATAAATTGCTTATACTTTTTTTAAACTGAATTTAAAATATGTAGTATATATGTGTGTGTGTTTCAAAACAAGCAATTGTTCATTCAGTAATTCAAACGAAGAACAAAAAACTTCCTCTCATGGACTAGATTCGGTAAGTGAGTAAACGGAATTCCATATACCAACAACAACTCCGGCAAAGAGGGGAAGAGCTTGACAATTGCGCCAGAGGACACACCGATAGCGATTAACGAGGCTTTGGGTATGGCTAGGTCCTGAGTCCAATCTCATATCTAGCTTTCTGGAAGTGGAGCTGCCACTTAGTTCGTCTATCCATTCTGAAGATGGCCTTGTGATACGAGAGTCAAGGAAAACAGTTGTGTTGTAAACTTGTATTTATTAAGGGTACTATAGGTATTACGAAAAATAATGGGCTGCACTTAGTAAATAGGTGTTTGTATTTAGAATTACCCTAAAAAAATCTATACCTACACTAATTAAAATATACAAATTGGGCTGGGCTGAAGCCCACTCCTGCCCTTACAGCCATCCGCCCCTAGAGCCCGTTTCGTTTCTCTTTTAGTAACACAGCCAAACGTCGTCGTTGAACTAAGCCAATTAAAATGACTGGTCAACATTTTAACAGCCAAACATAGAAACACCTGGGCACCACATTTGGAAACAAAACAAGAAGGGAGATACAGGGGCGAGATGAAAATATCTCCTACTACTACCTTGAAACGTCCGGCGAAGGGGTGGCGCCAGCACCGGCTCGCCCCGGCCTGGTTCCGCCACTGTTTCTAAGGTAGATTCTATGACCAAGTTAATGGTTGAATTGCACACACCAGAGTTCTTGAATAGTACTCTTTCTGTCCCGGAAAGTTCTTCCCAGTTTGACTTGGCATGGAGATTAAGAAAGTGGATAAAGTAAAATGTATGGTTGTGGTTGTGTAAGAAAAAAGTGAAATGAATGTGAACCACACAAATTGTCAAAAAATGGTAAGTGGAAAGAATTTTTTGGGACGACCCAAAAAGGAAAGTGGGAAGAATTTTATGGGACGGAAGGAGTATAAAACTATCTGGTGTGCCAAATCATGAGTTAACACTAAAGATGGGACTCCTATAATGCTATTGCGTAATATAGATCATTCGATGGGGTTGTGCAATGGAACCCGTCTTATTTTAACGAGGCTCGGTGATCATGTTTTGGAGGGAAGTATTTTAACCGATGTAAGTGCTGGACAAAAAGTTTTGATCCCAAAATTGTCATTGACCCCTTCTGATGCTACCTTGCCGTTCAAATTTCAAAGAAGACAGTATCCTATTATGACCGCATATGCAATGACAATAAATAAAAAACAGGACCAATCTTTGTCCCGCGTAGGGTTGTTGAAAAAGCCCGTTTTTACCCACAGGCAGTTATATGTTGCAGTTTCAAGAGTGACCAATCCTCGTGGCTTGAAAATTTTAATATGTGATGAAGATAAAAAAAATTGATGTCAAGACTCAAAATGTTGTATTCAAATAAGTGTTCAACAACGTCTAATGGGGTTGTATCAAATAAACTTATACGTAGTACAATAGAATAACAATCATGATTATTTTGGATGTTTTCATGCTTTTAGCTAATATTTAGTACTCTCTTCATAATAATAATAATAATAATAATAATAATAATAATAATAATAATAATAATAATAATAATAATAATAATAATAATAATAATAATAATAATAATAATAATAATAATAATAATAATATGGAGTACTACATGTGTGCTTAGCATTTATTTGTTTTTCCGATTATCTTAGTGTGACAACATTAAATATATCAAATTGCTACAACATATATGTTGTCCTAAGTAGTTATATACTTCTTTTTATTTCCCATAACGCACATAGAAAAAAAATCTCCAATCATGCATCGCACGAGTGAGTTACTAGTAAATCACCCGTGCGATGCACGATTTATAGAGTTTTTCTAAATTCATTGCGGGAAATAATTGAATGAGCCTAATTGTTACACAAAAAGTTGTATATTGTAGCAATAATGATATATCCTCGAGAGAAATGTAAGATATATAATAAATATATATGAACATGGTTGGGCACATATGACATCACTATAACATTACATCAAAAGAAATTAATAAAGACAATAACATTACATAAATGACCATAACATAACCTACACGTTGTTGAAACCGTTGAAACCGCAACATACAATTGATTTCGTGGATAAAGGCCGATTTGTAACAACAATCCTACACATGACAACGATTGACCTTGAATATGTGTTTTGATGTTGATCCAATCCGATGCCACGATATACAACGGCTTGACTTGAATGTTGAAAGTGACTCCAATTTTGATTTGGAGGGCATGAATCTCGGTTATCTTCGTAAACAACAACAAACGTTTTGAAAAATATCACAAACATGACGTACATGAGAATTCGTGCAAATTGTAACCATTTAACATTAACACAATCTCCTTAAAGAGAGTAGAGTTTACTACATTTTATAGATTGCAAAATCATTTAAACGTGTATTGGACATACTTAGATAATGATAATAAATCAAACAAGTATCATATTGATATTTAACACGGCTAATAGCTATTGGTCTATGGGAGAGGTGTGAATAGTACATGGGATGGGACATGGCATTCGTATGTATTCCTATCCGTTTTCTCAGCTATAAAAGGACAGCTTTGGCAGCAAATATCTTACGCTCATCTTCATTTTACTCTTTCATAGCAACCAGCGAAAATATTTATCTCAGTAGGGTTGATATTTGGTCTTTTAATTTATTTGGGACATTGATCAGATTAAAACCACATGGGCCATAAAGGCCAGAGCTACCAGAGCGTATCGTGAGCCTGCGCATGATGGCTTCCCGCCGTCAATAGAGGTTGCCTTTCACGAACAGGTTGGGAAATTTGATTAGTTTTTTTACAGTGTGTTTTCATTTCATTACGGCTGACTATTTCGAAAATAATAGGGTTCGAAGATCCACAAAATAACAAATATTGGGGTGAAGAAATTGAAAAGTGCTCATGGAAGAAATATTTACGACATACAAAGATCCACAAAAGTGATCAGATGGGTTTTATAGAATCAAGTATGAACAAATGGAATTTTCCGGACTACCCACATCATGTTGTTTATTATGCATGCACTACATGGCTAACATGGCTGACATGAACAAACAGATGTTCATGCCCGATTCCTTCCTTCAAAGTAGTGTTTATATTATACAAGTACCATCGTACAATAGTATTTAAAATACACGGAGTAGTATTTATATTGAAGAGATGGCATTTATCTCGCTCTTAACATTATTATTGAATTTATTCAAAGCATTGAGCAGGTAGAGGGGTCTAATTTGTGATGCTAATTTATAAATATACAGTTTTTTATGATCTATAAATATACCTTCATTACCACCTGAGATGATAATTTTAAATATAAGCATGGCAAATGTTTTGGAAGTACTTCATATTGGGAGTTATTTAACATATATGGGAGTAAATCAATTCTTCTTTATTACAGCCGCTAATTATCCACTACAGAACTCATTCATGCAAATTTAAGAATGTAACTAAAACTATTTAAATTAACAATATTTGGTAAGGTGTAATAAAAAGTACATTGCTAAAAACATAAAACGTGTATACTTAATAAGTAAACATCAGGGTCATCAGATGAACCGGTTTTTATTTACAAACCCTCATTTATAATACGACGGAGTATATTTTTCAATCTTTGTGTTAGGCACCAAATATTTATAAAGTTATATTTTAACAAAGAAAATATATTAAGAAAAAAATTAAAAATTCTCCCTAGAGTATTGTTTTAAAATTAAATAAAACTATTTAGAGCTATTATTATTATACTAAGTTTATATCCTTCAATGAGAACATTTGACTATTTTTGCAAAAATCGGCTGTTTTGGCTGATTCTGCTGAAATTTATGAAGTTCTGGCTGAAGTGGCTGCATTGGTTGATTCTGCTGATTTAAGAAAAAGTTATTTTTAAAATATATTTTATTAATAAAATAAAGAAAAAATTATACTTCGTATGTAAAAATAACTAAAATGGTCATCTACACTAACTTCAGCCAATACAGCTAGAAAAGTAACTTCAACCTTACTTTTTCTGCTTATTACAAAATTGCGCGCGAAATCTAAAATTACGTATTTAATGAAAAAGCTGGCTAATAAGCCTGATAAGGTGAAAAAGGGGGTCACCAAACGGGCTCATACACTACGTAAGCCTGATAAGACGTATAACTGCCACCTTTTCCCACGCCTAGGACCGTATGTAATAAAGTTTACCTTTTTTCGAGTTTGTGAAATCTCCTTGGACGAAACCATTCAGTGAGAATGGCATATTAAATCCAAATCGCTCATTGAGTGACAACACGAGAAAATGGAGGACAGATATAATAAAATGGGTTGCGTATATGGGGCACCTGTTCTGTGATTTCTGTCTCAGACGGAGGAGCAAGGGGTCATGCTCCTCTCCATTCCTTCTCCATTTTCTCTCCATTACTTTTTCACTCTATCTCTCCTCAGGAAATTAATTAATTAAACATAATCTTTTTTCTTTCTCTACCCCACTATTTCCCCACTCCTCTCTATCTCTCTCCCAATGGAGAGTTCCAGTTAATGGAGAGGAGCAAAATTAAGGAGCAAGAGGGGATTTTGAGTAAGCCATGTCCTAAGGTAAATTGATAATATGGTGGGGGAGTAAAAAAATGGTTTAGAGTTTAATTTTCGAGAATTGAAGGAGAGTTCTCCAGAAGGCGTGAATTACTTAGGACAGAGCAAACGGAATTTGGCAATACTAAAAATGAATTATCAATAGAAATCTATTAATTAACATATAAAAGTAAATATTTTACGAATAATATGTATTGAATTGTTTATGTTCTTGACTTATTTATATCCTATGTTCTTAATGATTGTACAACATCATCGAATTGTTTAATATGATTTAAAAAGTGATACGATGTTTTAATTTTTTGGTTATCTAGAGAGGGATGACGATATCATGATTAAAGTTGTTAAGTGGTACAAGGTTTTTGATGTTGGTATATCTTACTGAAGGCCGCATTTCGAAAAAGTAATTTGAATTTTCATCTCCATTGATGGGGTATATGGCCCAGGAACCCCCGGCCCATAGACTCCTACATCTCCTACACAAGTCCATTGAGCCCAGAGAACAACTCAGGCCCAAATGCAACGGCCCAAGCCTCAAAGCAGCCCAGAATACACACTGGGGTGCCTTCGGTCTCCTTGGCCGGAGGCTCCAAAACTCACAGGATAGCCTTCTCTGGCATAAGAAGCTGCTGGGAGAAAACGGCGAAAAACATGAGCCTTCGGCATTATCAAGCCCTCGGCATCAGAGAAGCCTTCGGCTGAACCAAGCCTTCGGTCACACAAGGCCTTCGGCTACACAAGGGTCCTTGGTCACATGGAGCCCTCGGCTACACAAGGAGCCTTCGGCCAAACATGCTCGATCA